GGAGATCCTATAATTATGTCTCAAGTCAAAATTCACATAGAATTTCGCCTCAATAAACATTCAGGGCAAGTTCTAGACCAATGGCTCGGGACTTGGCCTTGCAATGCAAATTTCTCATCACACAAGCTATGAAATCGCTGAAGACATAGAGTCAGGAGCCCACAACAACCTTAGATAAGATTTGAGGACACAATGGTTCCGAAAAACCACTTGATAATTATCGGCCAACACAAGAGTCTCAAGGTCACAACTTTCACCATGCTATACACAACGATTTGTTTTTGACCATAAGATCAAAGGAAAATGTGCTAGGTCTAAGTGAAGCTTTGTTTGAGGCACTCTTATCCACTAACTACTAAAAAGAAAAAAGAAAGGAAAAATAGACTCAAACCCTTAAGAAGGTAGTCATGCCATCCATCATCGGGAAGAGCCACACGGTTCACACAAATTCCACTTTTTGAAAGAACCATGACATTAAGAAAACCAAAGGCTTATTGCAAAAATCCAAAACAAGAAGCTACGAACACAAATAAGAAGCTAAGAAAGAAAAATTACAGAAAGTAAAATGAATATATACAATAGGGGTTTGATCGAATATACAATAAGGGGGATGAATATATACAATGTAACATAACTTTTATATACAGACCCAAAGTGAAAAGTACGAAAAATGTAATGAAGTGCTAAAATTATATACATACCAAAGATGAAAAAGGGAAGAAAGAGATAATAAAATTTTTCATATATATACAGTCATCCGACAAATCAAAGTAGGGCCTACCCCCTCAAATGAAAGCTGACATTGTCCTCAATGCCAATTAAGCAAAATAAGCACCAAAAATAAAGGGAAGAGGATACAAAAACTCCCTATGGCCCGTCTGTCTGCATAGGATCCTGAGTGGTCCCTGGGTACTCTGTAAGCTCGAAAACCTGAGACTGGATCCCTATGACCTGTGGCTCTGCTGAGACCTGTGCCTCGACCTGGACCGAGGCCTGGGCTAACTCCTGGGGCTGGCTAGAGGAATCTCCTTGCGGGTCCTCCAACTATATGACTGCATCATCTACACGAGGAATCACCCTCTTCCTCTTGGGTGGCCTCTCTGACCGCACTGACTGGGGATGGGCTGCTGGTATTGGGTCATGTAGCAAAAAATCCAAAGGCAGGTGATCTGCCTTCAACCTGTCAACCTCAACTCGCAACTCCTTCACGGACTCCTTGGAAGCCCGAGTCTTTCTCGTCTTCTTAGCCTCCATAGCAAGCTCCTTGAGAGCTTTCCCATGAGAATCTACAACGTTCGTAAGCACTTTCTGAGTTTCAAGAATTTTCTTCTGGTTGTCGAGTATATCCTTGAGGGCATCCTTAATAGACTGTGGGACCTGTGGAGGCGGAGGTGCTGACTGGGATGCTACTGTAGTAGTAAGGACAAACAACTTAGAGGAAGCTGTCTGCATCTAGTTGTTGATGTTGAGAAGGGCCTAGCTCAGACGGTGGGCAGTCACTGGGTAGGCCGGGGTGGAGGGTATGTCTGGAGCAGCCGAAGTGGATGGACCAGGGGGCATGTTCGCTAAGGTGGAAAAAGGCTGAGTAGGAGCCACTACCACTACTGGCTCTTCAGACTGGCCAGTTGAAGCAGTGGCTATTCCCTTGTAGTTCTTGCCTTTAGTGTTTTCATCACCCTGCATGTTGTACCATGAGAACGGTGCCTTTGCTTTCATTTTGACATCAAATTTCTGCTTTTCTACCTTTAGGTCCCTGAAGTACATGGTTAAGAAGCTGGGGAAGGGGTAGTTTTTGTCACCTTCACTTACTACCTGCGTAATAACCCGAGACATCACATTCCCAATGTTAATCGGGTACCCCACCATAATTGATGCTACCAGTACCGCCCGGTGAAGAGGGAGTGAGTTGTCGTGGGTAGTGGGGTCCAGTCTGCTGCATACGAATGTCTCACACCCCTTAGCCTCGAAATTCAAACTTCTCCTTAAGATCTTCACTCCCGCATCTGGGGTGGTACCTGGGATTGCCAAGTACTGTGCCAACCAAGGATGGGCCTCCTCACCTAATGCCATCTTCTCCAGATACAGTGATTCATCCTCCTCATCGAAGCCCAAGTATTCATTTATTGCTTTCCCATCAAATAGCACTTTCAAATTCCGCACCTTGGTCACTTTGGTGCCCTTCTTGATGTGGGCAACATTGGTGTAGAATTCCTTGACTAAGTGCTCGTTTGCATCCATATAGTTGCTTAAGAAGTACTCCCAGCCCACTCTCTCTCTCTAAATTGCCTTCTCACATTGGGGTTGTGAGGCAAGAGGTCTCTATCCACAAAACTTCGCTCTGGAATCAATTTTCTCACAGGCCACCATTCTCTGAACTTATGGTAGGCCACCTCACTCACAAAATGGTCTTGTCACACCTCCGAGTTTCTAGTTCTCGCTACTCCTCCCACCTGAAGTTCACCCCTTCTCCTACTGCCTCTTCTTCTCCTTCTGCACCCTCTACGGATAATGAAGCTCTGGGAGAGGTGGAGTATTCATTTCCACTACCAGCAGCTGAGCCCTCAGATGACTCAGAAAATACACGCACTAAAGCTTGGGCAGTGGGGGAAGGTGGAGGAGTGTCTCTCAGTTTGTTTCTCTCTGGCCAGTCAGTAATGTACTCTGGCACTGAATCTGATGATGCCTCCCGGGAGGGCTCTTGCTCACTCCCTGACTGATCAATATCCCTATCAGCAGCTCTAATGAGTTTCCTTGTGTTTTTTATGTTTTGTCGGGCTTGGGGAGTCAACTTTATCATCTTTTGTTTCCCACCCTGGGAGGACTCTCCTCTACCTGCTTGTTTAGCATCCTTGCCTCTTTATTTCACCATTGTCTGCAAACAACATTCATTAGACTTGTTAGTATCCAGAAAAATATTGTGATTCACAGTTGCAGAAAAATTTGCAGACAGTTCAAACTTGCAGAGTGCGGACCGCATAAAATGCAGTACGGCCGCAGAGAGGCCAATGCAGACCGCATAATTAGTTTTTTTTTCCAGTTGAGGCCTAGACGTGTCAAGCACCCTTCCTAGAAGGTGGTCTGAACTTTAGGTGCTCTTTAAGTGTATCAATTTGGTTGTTATGATAATATTTCACAGTTATTACCAAAAAAAATGTGATTTAAGTTTTTTGCTTTTGCAGTAGAAAATTGAACTCCGATCCCAAGTCTTAATATTAATAGTGTCTTCTAGTCCCAAAAGTAGGTTGAGGGTGTGGCTGAAAACAGAGTAAATACGTTCAACCTTATTCTAATGAAAAAGAAAAAAAATCATGTTAAAAGTAAATTCAATACCATTTGATAATATAATGTTAGATTGTGTGGCAATCTCATCTAAAAGTTTAAATTGATTAAAAGAGCACATTTTTATTTATCTAATTGTATAAACACGCCCCTTATATGCAAGCATGATAGCGGTGAGACGCGAGGAGAAGGGATAATTTATTGTTTCTCTTTTTAATTTTGATTCTTAATATAAGAAAATATTCTTCCCTACTTATATATATATTCAAGAGTGCAAATACATCATGTAATATTTCTCGAAGACTTATCTCTCTCACACACATTTCAAAATAATTGGAGATTATTTGACTACACATGCAAGATTTCAGCTCATTCTTTTTCACATTTGATATCTTGTACAATGAAAAAGAAACAGTTCGGTGCACAAAATATTTCATATTCATACAAATTTCAGAAAAAAATTATACCCCAAAAGATGTGACGTAGACAGCCGAATATCCTGTACATTTTAGGTAAAGAGTAAGACCATGCACGTGCAATGGAGGCCATAGGATGTCTCTTTCTTAAGTTTTGCAGAATAACCCAAATGCATTAACAAACAGAAATCTACATTCTTGACAGTATTTACATCAAAGATAATACTATATATTATTAAGTGTATGATGCAGCAAAAAATAAAACTTTAATTTGGGGGACCATAAACTCCCCATACCTTTTGTTCCCAACAAAAAATTAAACAAATTCATCATAGCCACATGGTCACATGTGATGGGGATGGGATGCCCTTATCATTTCCCTTCTCATCGTTCTTTTTCTTCTTTTATTTCTCCATTTTAAAAGAATTTAAATTATATGTACTAATGGTATAAAAAAATTCATTCTTACTACAATATAACTGATTGTAACAAACTAATTTCTTCATTTTCTACGTTATATATTATATTTTGTTATAGCCAATCACTTAGTATTATACTTAACCTAAATTTGTAAAAATAGTGTAAAATACCAGCATATGACTTATACTCTTTATTAAGAGAAATTAAATTATGTACTCTAACAGTTTTAACTAATTTTTACAAAATCATTGTAGTTTTATGTATTGCAGTTGTAAGAGGTTATTTACCATGTTTTGGAGGTTATACCCACCTTTGTCATGAAAATTACTCTATATTGACTCTTAAATGATATGAAGTATAAAATTTGTTTAATCTGTTAGCAAATTTTAATTCATTGTAGCAAGTTATTTAGTTGAAGAGGGGAGCGTCGGAGTAACGGTAATATTGTTTCTCTGTCACTTATAGATCATGAGTTCGAGTCATGGAAGCAACCATTAATGCTTGCATTAGGGTAGGATGTTTATGTCACATCTCTTGGATTAATTGCAGCTCTTCCTCGAACCTCACGTTAATGCGAGATCAGGCTTAACTTTTTTTAACAAGTTATATACTTCATTTCTAGATTGTATATTTTTATTTGGTAAGACTAATTACATATTGTTGTAACTTTTCAGTATAGAAATAATATACACGGTTGGAATAGATGGTTTTTGTTTGTTTTCAAGATTTATGAGCCATCTAACATAGGGGTATGCTACCCCACTGCGCACTCACAAAATAAAGAAAGAAAGCAGGCATTATATTAATTTATGTGGGCAAAACTAACCCTACTTTCTTCCCAATCCCCTCTCTATAAAGCTGGTTTCACAAATAATATATGCTACTGTGGTCCTTCTACACATTTGTTTCATTATCTCAATTCTCCCTTCTTACTTCACCATTCTCTCCATTTCCCTCTCTCTTTTTTACTGTGTTTTGTTCAACAACTCCTTCTTCCTCTTTCTCGACGACAACATACCCAGCCTAGTTCTATAAATAGGGTCTCGAGATGGTGATGTGTATGCGGACCTAATTATCCCTACCTTATCTCTATCTTGTGAAGGTGAAAAAGTTGTTTACGATAGCGCTCCGCTCAATTCTGATGAAGTCCTAGTCATGCTTTTCCACAGCTTTCTTGAACTTCTTCTAGCTGAATTTTGATCTCTCTTTAGGCAATTGTGGATAGTTTTAATTTGAGAGATGAGATTTAAAGCTCTGAAAGTCCAAGAAAGCTGTGGGAAAATATGGCAATCTTAGGACTTTTTTTTACCATTTGGAGTTCAAGAGATCTGCATTTTTAAGGTAAATTCTTGAAAAATGTCTTAGAGGAGTAGTAGTTTTCATTTTTTTTCCTCTTTAAATTGCTCATGAGTTACATAACTCCATAATTTGGCATACTTTATGTGAATTCTCTGAGTATTTATAAAACTTATCTATAGAAAATTCAAATTTAGAGAAGAATTATGGTTTTTAATTATATTTTTATGATTAAGTATGAAAAACTAGATCCACATTTTGGAAAGGAGAAAATTCTGGATTTTCTCATTTTCTACATTCATATATCTTTAATGGGATTTGATTTTTTATTTTTTATTTTTTTTGATTTGCTTGACTTTTATGATTGATCAATTTGTGGGTAGTTCAATCAAGTGGTGAAAACTAAGAGAAAATGGCAGCGAAGATTCCCTGGCTTTCATCAATTATTGATGCATAGTTCATTTTGTTTGCCTCTTTGTTTTTGCTCTCTGTGATCTCATACATTTCCGTGAAAAAAGTTAATTTTTTTTGTTACTATGTGAGAAAAAATAAAATCATTTTCCTTTAACCCCCCAACACCTTTCCTTCTCTCTCACCATTTGGAGTAAAAATACCTAAAAAGACAAAAATATTAATTCCCACCTTACAAATAAAATTACCCGTAATCATGGATTTTTCTTAGTACATTTTTAAGTATACCCTGACAATGCAAATTAACCATTAATAAACGCCTAAGAAATCCCTTATCATCCATCCCAAATTAATTAAAGGCTATGTATATATTAAACTAAATTCTGGGGTTAATTAAATTACTGTCTAGTCATTTACCATTAATGATAAACTGAAGTATTATTAAGATTTTGTAAATTGTGATAAGCCAATTGCTTAAAGGCATAGGTAATCTCAAAAAATGTCATATTGTTGCCTCTTAGCTTCTTTTCTCTGATTTCATCCAATCAAGTCTAACTATGAGCCTAATATACTTTTAAAAAATCATAGAATTTGCATTAGTATATCATCATTGCGTTAAATATTTAAGCGTTATGATTACAAACTTTGTTTACCATTTGATGTTTCCACTCAAACTTGATTAGAATTCCACAATGCTAAATGCTAATTTGGAATCCAACATCTGCTAATTACATCTTAATTAAAGTATTATTTCAATCTTATATAATAAAAATAATCTTAAAGTAATTTATTTTATTTGTAGGGCAGGATGTAAGGAGGGGTAAAAGGGGTTGCTTTCAACATATAACTGATAGTTAAGCAATTCATAATAATTTTGAGGATAAGTAATTTAACTTACTATACCTGTTAACATGCATTTCCCATGGGAATGAATAAATCTTTGAATTGATAGGTAACTAGTAGGGTATACTCTATGTTTTGGTTTAAATAGGCCAGACAATAAGGGATGACTGCTCTCTGAACTTTAAAAAGTATATATAGTACTCCTATTATTTACACATAATCTAATCTTTTTTGTTTTAACCTCTCAAACTAACATAAATATCCAAAGAAGGTATCAACAAAAATTAGATTTATCATGAGACAACTCATGTTGTTCATATCGATCTATTATGCATCTCTACATCCTGTATTAAATAAATGATCTTGAGTCATCATAATGTTCCTATATATGTAAGGTATTTTTTCCTCAATTGTTTTAAATTAGAAAATGTTCAACCATCTTTGCTCGTGCTAGTGCTCCCAGAAATTATTGGGTGTTCAAGAATTTGTTTAGACAGTTCATATCATTCATACATAGTATTTTGATATAAGGTTTTAGTTCTTTTGTGTTTCAGCAGTAACATATTCTTCCATGGAGCTGAGGTCCAAAATACGGAAGAAACAATCATTTTCATGACTTTACCACCGAGTCATTTTCTAATTATGTTCTATATAGAGGACATATAGTACACACATCATTTAGCTTCTCTTCGAACCATAGTATCTGTTTTTCTCATAATTAAATTAAAGAGGGAATTGAAGATGCTTAAAGTAATTTGGTGGTTCATATCTTTATTGCAACGGCTAATATTTGAGGATTTTAGTATGTATATATTCAAAACCATGTCAGTGTTGTAATTAGGATATTACTAGAGAAATCATTTCTGGCAAACTAGCAGGATATAAGTGAGTTGCAAAATGCTGGCACCATAAAAGTTTTCTGATTTTTTCTTGAATTATTGTTGCAGTTATATAACACAGTTACGTGTAGTTAATTACATGCAGAGAACCAGACCTAGCTATTAATCTAAAGGATAATATAAATGGAGATCAGATCCAGCTTATTATCTCATGAAGCTACATGTGTACATATACAGAGTTTGAATGAAAAAGTGAGGTGTAAAATCTATATTAAATTCTAATATATGTTGCGCGCGCATGCAAACATATACATATACTGTACTGGATTCTGCCGAACTCGCAAAGTATTATTCGATGTCTGGCTGATTCTTCCAGCCAACTATTTGGCGCAAATTCATTGACAATTAGATGAAAATGATGGAAGCATTTTCTTTTTCTCGATATATCGACTGCATTGATTTGTTGAGATAGAAGAGGAGACTTGGAGCAACGGTAAAGTTGTGTCCGTGTGACCTATAGGACAGATGTTCGAGCCGTGGAAACAGTCATTAATACTTGCATTAAATAAGATAGGTTGTCTACATCACACCCTTTGGGGTGGGGCCCTTCCCTGCGTGAATGCAAAATGCTTTGTACATCGGACATCCATCGATTTGTTAAGATCTTGTGAGCTCTCCAGAGTATAAAAGATGACTTTTCTTTTTTCAGAGAAACGTATACTCCTAATATATTAGTGAACGAATAAAACTTGACTATATATTAGAGTTACATGTCTCATCATTCATACAGGAATATTTTCCCCAGACCCCTCTCTAAGTGGAGAATCAAGCACACGTATTAAACAAAGTTACTATAAATTCACTTCCTACAAGAATAAGGAACTACTCCTACAATATTTGGCATTGAATTTAGCACACACCACATATACTTGATCATCATCCAACCCTTAATTTACATATAATTAACTCCAAAGTTTTGGTAAAACTAATAGTTTCAGCAGTCTTTCAGTAAACTGAAATTGGAAAGCATAGGCGTAAAGGGAAAAAGAGGATTCGGGATCACAAACAAGGACCTATATAACATACATTGGCATGTGCAAAAGAAAGAATGAAGGGCATCCCGGTGCATAAAGCATCCGGCGTTCACGCAAGATCGGGGGAAGGATTGCACCCCAAGGGAGTGTGATGTAGGCAGTCAGAGGCGGACCCAGGATTTTAACGCAACGAGGCTACAATATTCTACTCAATCGGTGCCCCCTAAAGGCATCTAGCATTCATGGTGCGAGGTGATTTAAATGAATCCTTTTCAAGGTATACACATATACATATACAAGATTTTTACTTAAGTTTACGGAATCCGATGACCCCACAACATAACACATAGGTCCGTCTCTGTAGGCAGTCACCCTAATGAAAGCATCAGCGGCTAATTACAATATTCGAACCCGTAATTTATAGGTCACACGAAGACAACTTGACCATTACTTTAAAGTTTCGCGTGAAAAAGGAATGAGGAGCTATATAAGTATACCTATGAAGGCAGCCAATGATTTTCAGAGCATATGACTATTGTCGAAACCTTGTAACTACAATGGTGCGAGAGAGGAAAAAGTTAAAAGAAAGGGCAATAATTTCCGTCCCAAGATGTTGGAAAGCAATAAAAATAGTCATGTCGCTATTAGCTAATTGGCATTTGGATATAAATAATTTTAAAAAAATTGGCATTTGGATTTTGGCCATTCACTTAACTTCTTCTTTTTACAATAGAAAAACATCAAATAAAAATATATGATCAACTCCAACAAGGTTACATTGCTATTGGATAGTGAAAATGGCCCCTCAATAGTTAATGGGAACTTTGTCTACCATGAAATGGACTTGAAACATATAGCTATTGGCTCCATTTGCAACATGGCCATAATATCAAGTAGTTACATTTGCAACTACTCTTGTACCACACATATCAACTTACTCTTTAGCCATTACTGAAATACAACTAAGATGAAGCTGATTATAACATACATAAAAAATAAAAAAAATAAAAAAGAGCTTGAAAACTAGAAGTTACTGTTTAATGTTTGTTATGAACCTTGTATATATGTGAAAAACAAGTATAAATAGGACTAAATATATATTTTAGAACTCACATTTTCATTTTAGAGCCCACGATATTCAAATTCCGAATCTAAATTGTTTGTTTGATATTCCTTCGATCTCAAATTATCTGTCGTGTTTTTTTTGCATGCTCCTTAAGAAAATATTAAATAGAATTTTTTTTGACCATTTTAACCTTATTAATGTCTTAAGATATAGTCTCTCTTCATTTAATACTTGCTCATAATTAAAGTATTTGTAATCGTCAAGAACAATTAATATTAAGTGTAGAATAGGAAAAATAATAATTAATTTACTTTTGAACTTCTAAATGACAAACAATTTGAGACAATAATTTTTAGAAATCACGACAGATAATTTAAGACGGAGAGAGTACTAGAAATATTTTCATGGAAAAAGGGAGGAAAAAAAAGAAAGAAATGGAAGTTAGAATAGCAAGTTGTTATTTAGGAGATGTGAAAGAGTTTGCATTGGAATTCAAAGAAATAATCATGCACAAAAAATTTTAAGCAAATAATAATAACATGGTCAAATTACCTTCCCCATGACCAAAAACCATATCCCAAGAAACTTCCCAAAAAATACAAAAGAGCACCCATCTTTCCTGCACCAAAGCAGCAAAAATTCAGGCATGCAGAATGCAGGCATACAAAATGAATAATGCATGTGCAAGAAAGAAGAAACAAGAACAAGTGGCTAATATAAACTCCAAATTATATATTTACATAAATTAGTACTATTGATGTCTCTTTTCCTCTAGCTTTATTGTTTGGACTCTCCAAAAATATTATCATGCACTTGTTTGATTTCCCAAAAGTAGTATACATGTTTAGAGAATCCGTCGTAGACGTGACAACTTTAAAGAGTCTACACACAGGGCAAAGCTAGGTAGGCAAAAGGGTGTTCAGCCTTCATCAAAAATTACTGGTAGGCAAAAGGGTGTTCAGCCTTTATCAAAAATTACTGGTAGGCAAAAGGGTGTTCAGCCTTCATTAAAAATTATATTGTGTATATAAGATTAATTTTATATTTTATGTATGTATACAACATAAACTCTGGCTTGTGTGGCATCTTTTCATGGACAAAAGAGGTTCAAACAGTACTAAGATAGGCAAATCAAACATAAGAGATTATGTTTGATCCAATATACTAAATTCTTTTCATCTTCCACCATAAATAAACAAAAGGTGTTATAGGTGTCTAATCATAACTTTTCAACCCTATCTTTTTGTCCACATGCAAAATTACACTTACCTATTAAACAAACACAATACAAACCTTCTTGACTTGGTTAATTAGCTGGTAGCTGTCTCCAATTAATAATTTAATTGCATGTTGATCCCATATGTTTAACTTTAAACCAACAGTGTCTGAATAATTGAAGAGCTTGACCCTCTAAAAGTAAAGCAAACAAATACCAATAAACTAACGTAAAATTTTAAGCACTAACCTAGAATCTTACAGCAAATAAAGGAAGATTACAACTTTTTCTTTTCTTTACTTTTTAGGATAACAACTTTAATAATGAGAATTATTGGAACATAATAAGAAATTACAAAACTCTCCAGAAAATATCACTGCTGGCTTGTTCATTGCTTTGAATGTATTCATTATCAACTTCTGTAATTCCAGCTATGTTAAAACTAGATCCTGCAAAATAATAAATAAATAAATCCAAATTTTTGTGTTACTTTAATGTTAATTATAATTCAGTACAGATGTGTCCGACCTGGCTAAAAAAATGGACCAAGCAACTTAAATTAAACAAAAACAATAGTATATAAAATATTTATTAAAATGTTCTTTATTCCATCCAAAGAACAGGCAACAACTGTTGGTCTGATATAAAGGATGTCAGCCTTAACAAGACAAAACAATATAGTATATGTTCCTTGCTACATAGTTGTCTTTGCCATTGTAAGGAAAAAAAAGGACCATAATATTTCTTTTCTTTTAGCAATTTTAATTCTTCTGCAAGATTTTGACTTCGCTTGTTTCTTTCCCTAGGTGAAAAATCAAAAAAGAAGAGTGTACATTTGCTTGGTTAAATTTGCTAGCCTAGTCCAGTCTGGTCTGACATCCATGAATGCACACACTATTTCTTTTTTCACTTTGGCCGGACTAATTCAGATTCAGATTGGACTATTATTTACTTGACTCACCTAATTCAGATTCATATTGAGTAACCTACTCAGAGGCGGAGCTAGCCCATCGACTAAGAGTTCGGCCGAACCCAATTGTTTATGTCCAAACCATATATTTGTCTTACGATAAATGAATATGTATAAATTACTATTATTTTAGAACCCAATAATAATAATTTAATTAAAAGGACAAAAACTCTTTTAACTCTTTAAGCTCTAAATCTTGGCTCCACCTTTGGACCTACTAATAGTAAGTCCACTAATGGAGTAAAGTACTCTCCCACTTGAAAGTTTTTCTACTCTCAGGGTTCGAAGACAGTTTTAATTAAGGGCGGAGAGATATCAACCATCTCACTACACTCTTCGATCAGGTGGTTGCATAAACAATTTCCCTACATTATGCTTTACTTAGTCCATATAAATGGCCTCTAATGTGGGCATAAAACATAGTTGGCTAGCAAGATTCCAAATGAGAGGGCAATGCCTTGTGGTCCAAATAAACATTCAATAGTAGCACATTCTTGATCACATAATTCACAAGCTATGAGGTGAAATGGTGGTCATGCATTTCCCTTTATCTTAGCCTATAAAAGAAAAGAGGTGGAAAATAAATAAGCTCAAGAAGAGTACTAAAAATTAGATCACATTAGAAAGTTAGATACTATATAGTAGTATATACTAGTATATATATAGTGCCCAAGCAAGCAAGAAACCATGAATTTAATGTAGGAATAAGACTATTGACTAAGAAATAGGATTTTGTATGTAAAACTATTGCCAATTAAATTGAAAGGTATAGAAATTGCTTTCCACAACATAGTGATTCTAAATGTCATGTGTATAACCCCATGTATTCTCTTTTTATTTATCTAAGTCCTATACCCCATTTTGGATCTTGCTTTTCAAGAACAATAAGCCAGAGATCCTGTGATGGGTGCGAACAACAACAACAATAGCATTTAAGTATAATCTCACAAGCGAAATCTGGTGAGGATAGTATATTTGCAATTTTACCCTGCCCTTGTGTTGGCAGAGAGGCTATTTCCGACGAACCCTAATCTCAAAGCAAGCCTCAAGGCTCAAGGCTTAAAAAAGATAATATTCAGGATTAGAATTAACATGTGCAAGAACTCAAGGCTCCAATTACAATTTAAAAAGCGAATTAAAGCTGTGCTTTATATAGAATAATTTATAGCAATTTATAGTCATAAACTCATACAATAAGATCTTAATCCAAGAATTGTATCACATAAGTACTAAAAACTGAGAAGGAAATGAAGATAAATATCAAGGACATCCAAATTTTGATCACCAAAAACCAAATTTGTTGTAAATCAGTAAATCCCAAACATATATTGCCACAGAAAAATTATCTGTATAGATCAAACCCATCCAGACACACAACACATAGAAATAAAATCAGAGAAATATCCCCTGAAAAAGAACCTTAAACAGTAGATCATTATGAACACCTTTTAATTTCCTGCAAAACAATAATAATCACAATAATAACTTGTCAGTAATAACAGTAAAAAAAATTCTTTCTATATATAGAAAGTTCACCAAAAAACAAACATGGATCTAACCATGCATCAATATAAAGAAAATCAAAATCTGTAACTGAAAATTCAGGAATTGTAATTTCTTGACACTATCTGTATCTTCCCACAACTTTATTGAACCGCAACAATTTTTTTTTTTATTTTCACCTCCAATAATGATAATTGGTTATATATGGTGTGAATTTTCTAATATATATGCAGTTCAAGAAAGCTGTGGAAAAATACAAAGAGAGCCATATTTAACCCTAAATAGGGTTTCTTGAGAAAAGGAAGAGTTTTTGTGTAAGTTTAATTATAGATAGGAAGGAGTGAAGCGTAGAGAAGAGAAACAAAGGGTGAGTATTTATAGGAGAATTGAAGTCTTTTTACCACACCAATCCCGAGAAGAATATTGGGCCTAAAAAGAAACTCTGAACAACCCACTTTTTTCAACCTATTAAAAAGCCGACTTCGTTTGATCCCATTAATACTTTTATAAATAATTATATTATAAAAATTATTAAAGATATATATATATATATATATATATATATATATATACATTCACAGGTAATACTATTTTTTTACACGTCAGCATTGTTTAGTATATTACAATAGATTAGACATTATTTTCATCGGATTATCAATTTAATGTTTTATTTTTCTTAATTTATGTGTCATATTTTTCTTTTTAGATTGTCTCAAAAAGAACGTTATACTTAATTATTTAAAAATTGTTTAATATTAAATTTTTTCTTTATCCTTAATGAGATGATTTATAATCACACAATTTTTTTATGACTTGTTTTGGACTATAAAATTCAAAAGTGTTCTTTACTATCTTAAATTTCATGCCTAGTCAAACATTCCACATAAATTGAGTCCAAGGGAGTGCTATACACAATTACTACACTAAACTTAAATCAAATATTAATGGTCTTTATGTAATTTTTTCTTAAATTATTCTTGTTACTGTCTCTATTGTATTTTATGTGATACTATTACCATTTGGAGAGTCGAACAAGTTATTTTTTCAACCACGATTTTTAAAATTCATTTTTAATAGGTTTGAATTAAATAATTTAGTGAATCATTAGCACTTTTATGTAATGTCTAAATATTGAGATTTAAAAATATTAAGAATCTCAATTATATAGATTGATTGTTAAAGACTTTTAGCAAGTTAAAATACTTTAACATGTTAATTATTATTTTTATTTGATTGTTGATTAACTTTACATCGTCATTATGTATATTGAATTTTGAATATTAATTATTTTTAGTCTTTTTTCTAAAATTTGTTCTAATTACTCCCTCAATTACACTTTATGCAACATTTTTAACCACGTTTTCAATTGTTCTTTTAAATAATAAAATTACAGTATTTTTAAAGTAATTTTTAAATATACAAATTTCATATTAATTTTTTATAATTCTATGTTAATAATATCAAAATTAAGTATTGGCTTTTAAACTCAAAACTGTCATATAAAATACAGTAGTGCTTAGAGGAAAGGAATAAGGACTTGATAACAAACAAATGAATAAAATGATCACCATTTATGTGGCCAGGATTGCAGCCTTCTAGATCAACGGCTATACTTGTATTACTTGGATCATACTTAGGGGTCCCACATCTAGATCTGTGTGGGGAATGGAATTTCATCACCACGCGCCTTATATTAAGGGGTGATGCCCACAATTTGACACCTAATTTCCTAAATAAATATTTATAGGGACAAGTCTTGAAAAACTTTATTATCTTAGGGGTATGGAACTTTATTTCTTTTTCAATTTTTCTCTTTGGCAGGGTATGGGAAAAGTCCTATGTTTTATGTTTGATTGTTGCAAGCGGGGTGGAGCGAGCTTATTAGGTGCGGATTCGGTCAAATTTAATCACTTTTGCTTAGATATGCATAAGAAAATTTATTAAATATTTATAAAAATATTTAATGCAAACCCAATAATAAAAATAAGCTATGGCCTAAGGTTCCATGACAAATTCAGAACCTATAAACTTTAAATTCTAATTTCGTCTTTGGTTGCAAACAATCAGAGATACTAGTTTTGCATATTCTTCCGATCCTTGATTATATTTTTGCTCTCTTTTTTGTTTACAAAAATTACTTTTTTGAATAATACTTCCTCCGGACCACTTTAATTGATTTTTTTTATTATTTTCACACATATTAAGAAATTCATCTTTTAACATTAATTAACAATGAAATTGATCATATTAACATTAATTTATTTATTAAAAATATAATAAATACTCCTAGGTCCTTACTCTAAGGGTAACTTGGAAAAAAAAGTTAATTCATTCTTGATATTTAAAAAATCAAATATTATTGATCACAAAAAAAAACTAAAAAATTAATTACATTGGACCGGAGGGAGTATTAGATGAAAACACCTATAACTTTTCATCTAATACTCCCCATCTCAAAAGATTAATGATACATACATACATACATACATACATACATACATATATATATATATATATAGTTTAATGTGTTACAAGTATCAAACTTTTGACTTATTTCTTAAACTTTAAATCAAGTCAAATTAAATAAAGTGAGACCGAGCAAAATAATGTTTCTTAGAACTATATATACTCTCTTCCTAGAACATTCGCTATAATAGAGATCTTGGAGATACTTAACACTAATCATGTCTATGCCAACGGGAAAAAAAAAGAGAGAAAACGAAAAGAAAAATATCTTTTAAAATATTTCCGGTCACGTATTTAAAATCAATATATCAACTTTGAGAAAAATTAATCAATCAATTATACTTCATATTCAAATTAGCTTGTTAGGGTCGACAATTGAATTCTTTATATCATGCAAATGATCAATTATAGCCACAAAAAAAATCTTACGTTTGACGTCAATTTATTATAATAATGTCCTCATGTATTTGGATATGGAATGAATTATATCTTGTGAAACTCACAAAAATTGAATTTACGTTGTGTACCTAAAGTAAAAAAAAATTATTGTTAAAAATTACGGTTGTCATTCTAAGGACTACACCAATAAAATTCGCCCTTGTCCACTCGCATATAGAGGCGGACTCAGGATTTCAATTTTATAGGTTCTGAATTTTAGAACGACGACTTTAAATGTTAATGACTGAGTTTTAAATTTAATATTTGTACAATTTCTTAATACAAATAAAATATCGGAGCAAAAAATATTGAATTTGGCTGAACTCATAGCTCAACTTCTACCTCCGCTCCTGCCGCATGCTATCTTGCTAACAGTGATTTAGGTAAGCCGGGAGCTAAGCGAGAATATTCTATCGAAGAGCCTACTTCCATCTGATCTCTCTTGAGGTTGCACCTCTACCTTTCTCACAAAATGTAGTTGTCAAACCACATCTTCACCTAGCTAGCAAGTGAAACACACACTGTGTCCAAGCAACTAAGATTGAATTGGTTAATTTGTTTATTAAGTCCTAAATTAAAATTAAAGAAAAAAATTAAGGGGGGTGGAAATGAAAAAAAGAAAAGAACATAGGGTTCTCACATGGTGGCATGTGAGGGTGACCCACAGTGGGAACGTGTGTAAAAATGACAATGCAACCCGTTTTTTCCGGACTAAGGTCTCTCTCTGTCGGACCCCGACATTTCCATTCCTACAATGCAAAACCCCCCACCGTTTTCCCCTAAACTCCAAATTTAACCCATTTTTGCGCTTTTCACTTGTATTTTATTACTAATTGGTCCTCATTATTTTATCATTTGTTACATATTTGTGTGTAATTCCCGTACTTGCATGTGTATTCTAACTTAGTAATGGATTTAATTATTAACTAAATGTTCAACTGAACCAAGAAGGAATGAGAGTCTTAGAGCACTAGTAAAGTTATCTTCGTCTGACTTATAGGTTACGGGTTCGAGCCTTAAAAACATACAATAATATTTGTATTAGAGTAGATTGTCTACATCAAGGGAAAATTTAATATTAAAACAATTGAGCTCCCTACTTTCAATTTTATAGCGTGGATTTCAATTTACAACCAACTAGCCCAAAAATAATACGCTAAAATTCAACATCCAACTCCAATAGGTTCTCAAAATTACTATTTAATTTTTAAAAATGATTCCTCAAGCTTTTAAATTAATTTTTGAATCAGTAACTGTGACTCAAATATTAGTTCAACAAACTAAATTTATTTGGGTGGTGAAAATTAGATTTTTAACAAGCTTAAATATGTGGGTTTAAATTTCGAATTTGATTTTATGAGAAATTTGGAGTGGGTGTTATTTAGACTTGTTAGAAATAGTATAAGGAGGTTGTATATAAAATTTGAAGTCATTTAATGGAGATTTGGACGGGTTTTGAACAAGAATTGTAACTGAAAATTGTGAAAGAAGTTCATCTACAGACGCTTGTACAAAGGTGTATAAAAGTGTATAATACTGTATAAGGTGTGTTTCTACACTATTTTACAAGATTATACATAATTATACAAAAAATTAACTTCGTCTTCTTCCTTGCGTCTTTTCTGAAATTTAAATTAAATCTTGCCCAAATCTACTCCAAATCACTTCAAATTTAAATTTTTAACTCCTTTTGATATTTTTAATTAATTGGAACAACACCAAATCCAAACAACTAACAAATTCAAAAAAAAATAATCTATTTTCGAAAGCAAAGCTTTGAATGGTCTTCAATGGTGGACTTCTACTCTTCAATTTTCTTACATTGCAAGCAGGTGACACAAGAGGAGAAGCAGAAAATACACAACCCCTTGAAGCATATGTAGAAGATGTGAGAAGAAGAGAGAGTGAAAGCAATGATTGTGAGAACACAGACTTAACTCCATAACTTTTAGAAGCAATGGTTGTAAGAACACAGATTTTGAATTTGCTAGTGCTTTCACAATATGTACAATGAGGGCTAGGTCGGGTAAAACTTAAAAATATGGGCCATTTTTTGTTATGGCCTGAAATCATGTGTATTTTCTTGTAATTCTTTCCAACATCAATACCACTAGAGATAAGACCCTTCTCCCGATCTGCATGAATATCGAATGTTTTTTATACCAAGCTGCCTTTTTTTCTCATATCACACCCCTAGGTGAATGACTCTTCTTCGGGTCCTCCATGAATGCGAGATGATTTGTGCGCTGACAACCTTTTTTTCTCTCTCAACTGAACTAGTATTTCGAAAGAGAATTTGTACGTATGTAAAAATTTACTAAAATTATAAAGAATATGATATTATGTATTCATAGTTTCAAGAGTTTATTAGGTCCAGGTCAAAAAATTTAAAAATCGGACCCATCAAGTTAAAAATTACGGATTTGTATCTAACTTCCTAACCAAGGGAGGTAGATACAATTGTAGATGTAGATAGAAATGCAGCAAAATATTTAAATTCAAAATTTTAAATTAGTGAATACAAA